GCCAACAGCAGTGACAGTTCTGCCCCGATGAGGGGCACGCCCTGCGTAGCCAACCACATGAGCTGACCAAAGGCAGCTCGCAGGCGGGTAGCTTCTGACGATGTCACCGGCTGCTCGGGATCGCGACGTCGATGTGCGGGGATATCTATCTCCATGAGCTCCTGGGCGTAGTCAATCATGGTCAGATGAATACGGCCCCACGACTTTGTGCGTCCATCATATTCTTGTCGGATACGCGTCCCACATTGAACAAAATCCTGGGTCTCCCAGCTTCCCCACTCATAGGCTTGATGGAGCTGCTGCAGGGCGTCCACTGCAAAGTCCGAGTGTTGGTCAATCGCGATCATGAAGTCGTCCACGTGGGCTACGGCCAGACCTCTGAGCTGTCTGCCAGGTTCTCGTAAACACCACAGGCAAGGTTCGGTCGTAGACTCCACCCAGCCGAGCTTGGCCATATCCCTGCGAACTCTTGTCCACCATCTGCGAGGAGCGTTCACCAGACCGTAGACCGCCTTCTTGAGTTTGACACATTGGTGATGCTCGAGTCGCATGGCTTCCCTGAGTTCCTTGACGGGTTCGGCCAGGACATTTCGATCTTCTTCTCCGAGATCGCCTTGTAGGAAAGCTGCCTTGACGTCGCCCTTGAAGACCTGAAAGCTCATCGAGGCGGAGACGCCCAGGAAAGCTTGGCGAGCCCGACGACTGCATGTTGGGGAAGCGGTCTTGATCCGCCCAAGTCCCGGATCGGTAAAGCCAAGAACCACCAACCGAGCCTTGAGGTCGCCAGTCTCCTTCCTTGTAATGACCCATCTCATCTTCATCAGTGCACCTGGGTGTACTCCAGCACGACTGGCCGCCTCGCAAACTCGATACTTGAGGAACGACTTGATCTCGTTACCCTTCGCGATCGGGAGCTTCTCACGGTCCTCTGCCGTGAGGTTCTTGAGCTTCACCTCGACCTTGTTCTGTTTGACCATCGCAGCGAGAGCCTTGTCAGGCCTCCGGCTGAGTTGATCCACATCCGACTCCTCCAACGCGAAACCGATCATGATCGCGAGGTTCGGCTCGTCCTCGCCCACGAAACCCACCAGGTCGGAAGCCTTCGTCTTCTGATCATACTCCCAGGGTGAGGTCCAACTCGCACTGCTCTCAGATTCGGGATCGGCACGACCGAGCTCGGGCATGACAAGTGTCGGTACTTTCTGGCACAGATGGCTCAAGTATCCTGCGAAGTCGGCTCGATGTCTCTTGGGTTCTGGATCTCCAGGAGGCTCTTGGCTGGCTTCTCGCTCGTTGTAACCTTCTGGTGGTGGTTCGCTCTCGTCGATCTGGTCGCTGGTCGGTGTCGGTGCTGGTTCAGCTGGATTCTGTGCGGGCATCGGAGGCGGTGTGGCCTCTGGTGTGGCCCCTTCGTGGTCACTCGAGCCCGACTCCGCTTCTCCTCCGTGATCGTTAGGTTGAGGAAATGCTGTACTTCTGGGAGTTGTCGTCCTGGGTGGGTCCGGTACTTCACCATTCTCTCCTTCTGGAATATCGTCCCATTCTCCCGGACCAGGCTGATCTACCACATCATCGTAAGCACCCTTCGTCAGCTCCTGCAGAATCTTCTTGAAGTGGTCGGAGCTCCCTGTGGAGATGCTCTCCAGGGTCTGCTCCGCTTTCGTAGTCGTGCGGAGGTGAGCGGCCGCTGCTCGTACAAGACGGTCACCGTCAACAAGCCAGACAACTCCTCGTCGCACCGCAACACCATTCTTCATCTCGCGCTCCTGCATCAAGACAGTGGCGGGACCGTGAAATCGACCAGCTATACCTGGCCGAGTCTTGTGGCTGTTACCCTTCGCACCTCGCCAGTAGTGTGCCTTCTCACCAGGCTCCCATGTCTTGAACGGCCTCGTCTTGGCCAGCAGAGCGCGCTTCGTCTTCTCCGACAGGTAGTGGTCCACGCACGCCTTGTAAGCCGCCGCCTTGATGCGCGTGACCTCCTGGAAATGCTTGTCCACCACATTGGCGCTCAGGACTGAAGGATTCTCCACTTGCTCTAAGCCCTGCCCCGACGGGGTACGACCCATCATGAGCATCATCGGGCTATAGCCTTGGTGTCGCATCAGGTCGTTGTTAGCCACGCAAGCCCAGCGAAAGATGTCCGCGGGCTCGGTGTCATCTGGTAGCTCCCAGGCGAGGCGAGTGGCGATCTCCTTGATCGTTTCGATGCATCTTTCGATCACTCCCATTCGCCAGTGAGCTTCTCCGGGTTCTGGTCTCCACTCCATGCCGTTACCCGAGACCCAGGCGCGCTGCTCGACCTGCCTGAAGCAACCTTCGGGATCTGTCCTGAAGACCTCCGGCTTGCCGTAGTGGTGGATCCAGTCCTTCAGCACTACCTCCTGCATCTCCTTCGCGGTGGTGTTACCACAATGCTCCTCGACACCCTTCTGACAGTGAATCGACGTCTGGGTAAAACGGCTGCCATAATCTGCACAGAGAGTCCCACGAACTTGGTAGGCTCGTCGAGGATGTGTCCAATAGAAGTTGTCGCAACCCATTTCAGTACCAGGAGCGGGTAAAGTCGGTTCTGAGCTGGCAATAGGTCGCATCTGAAACCTTTGAGCTGCCTTGCAGGCTGGACACTCGTAGTGGCTGCAAAGATCAATGAGCTTCTGGTCCGCCTTGCGAGACCTGAGGGCGGCGCTGACCGTGCTCATACTGCAGTGTCCGAAATTCCGATGGATATGTGCGATGATGGCCTCCAGCTCTCGCAACTCTGTCTTGGTACAGCTCAGGACACTCTTTGGCAGTGGCAGTCTGAGATTGCCCACCGACTGCTCTTGACCTCCCGACTCGGGCGTCGGCAGGGGCGCCTCGCCTTCTGGAGGACCTTGAGCATCTCCAGGGTCGTCAGGATCAGGAGCTGGTACTGGTCCGCCTGCTCCTTCTCCTTGACCTTCAGGAGCTGTGGGCTCCAGCGTTGGACGCTTCGGCAGCGGCGGTGGTGGCCCCTCAGAGGCGGGCCGCTTCTCCCGCAATCGCCTGTAGCCCGCTGCACACAGTTCGTCGTCCAGCTCGTTGTGGGCCTGCACCAGATAGGCGAGGGCCTCGTCCGAGGTGGCCCTGGTCATGAAGTGCTGGGCGATCCTCCTGCACATGTTCACGGGATAATTTGCTGAAAGAGCCACTCTCGTGCCGCCCTCCAGCGGCATATGCAGATGCAGATCTGGACAAATCCTCCCAACCTTCTTCTCGAACTGCGGGTCTGTGGTCGCGATGTGCCAGTCCTTGCGTATGAGGAGACCGTTCTGCTCGTCTCTCATATCATACATGCATCCGTGAATCCTGCAGCCGTGCATGGACTCCTTGAGCTCCTTGAAGTTGCCTGTCCAAGATCTGCAGCGTCCTGACTGCTCAAGGTATATGTCACAGAAACCCTCGTTCAGCAGCTGACCAATAGCCCATTTGACGTTCCTCTGGATACGTCTGGTCTTGATCAGCTTCTTCTCTGACTCCGCCGTTACGGGGTTCAGATTCTGCCATGGGCACTCTGCTCCGCACGGTGGGGAAAACCAAACTCTTCGAGGCCTCTTGTCCCGCAGTACTTTCACGAGCTTCTCTGCACCAGACCTGGTGGAAAAGTCATACCCGTTCCAGTTGCTGAATCTCTCGGCCTTGCCTCCTTGCTCGATCATCGCGTGCGTGAGCCTGGAGTCGGACACGCAGGCCACTTCTGCGAGGTCCAGCCTACCATAGGTCTCGGCTGCCTCCCAGGCGGTGCCCGGCATCTTTCCCAGAGCTGTCGTCGCCGCTATCAGCGCTCCAAGCACACAGCTCTTCACACGAGATGAAAGTCTCCGGCTGGCCTCGGCATTCCCGACGGGGTCGGCAGATCCTCTGGCCTCGGCATTCCTGACGGCTTCGGCAGATCCTCCGGGACGGGAATCGACTCTCCCTTGGGCGTCTGGCCGACGCCCTGCCTCTTGCTCGGTCTGGTCCTGTCGTCCTCCTCCGGCTGGTCCGTCGGCGCGTCGATGAGGCCCTTCTGGAGAATCTCCTGCGCGAGGCGCCGCTGCTCCTCCAGGCGGATCTTGATCCTCTCGCTCTCGATGATCTGCTGCACCTCCGTGTCCGTGAGCTTCCGAATCACCTCGGCCGACAGTCGCTCGGGCAGCTTCTTGGGAGCCCCTGGAGGGGTCGGTGGAGGCCTTGACGTAGGCGCCGTTGTCGCCGTCATGGCCTCGCTGTCCGAGGAGCTCGACTGGTTTACCATGGGCGACGCGGGCTGGGCCGTACCCGCGGTCTCCAGGCGGTTGATGTACTGTCGGGAGCGCACACACTGGAAGAGCATCTGGTCGCTTGTCTTCGCGAAGTGGTGCTTGAGCAGGACCTCCCCACAGTCCCTGCACTTGATCACGTCCACGAAATGGTTGGACCCCTGACGTGTCTGATCCCGATGGGCGCATCTCGGCATCGGCCTGGAACGCGCTCTCGATCTGAGACCTGCTTCGTTGAACTTCTTGAGCCAAAACGGTTCTCGAACACAAGGATCTTGGGTAGATAGTAAGACCGACCCATCTCGAATGTTCGACTTGCCGAGCGGTTTTATTCGGTAGGCTCTCGATGATCATCATAGGTTCCCCGTCCTCTCGAATCATATGCGTGTGTCGTTTCCCCGATAAGCTGGCTAAATCACGAGCTTCAAAATCTCGAAGATCACACCTTTGAAAACGAACCCGATGATGAACCCGAACTAGAGCGTGTGAGCAGTCGACCCATATATCCCGACTCACTCTCGCACCTTCTTTCCAGTCAGCCCGTTCCCAGAGATACCCAAGAATAGGTTGTAGCATAGACTGGCTTAGCTCGGGGTAGGGGTCCATGATGGAGACACTGGCCTCGAGCAACTTCTGGAGCATCTGGGGGAGCTCATTGGCGTCTTCGGGGCCCCTGGTGGCGACAGACTTGGATGACGACTTTTCCACAGTCTCATTGCCGCGACCAGGGTGCTGCCCCTATTCGCTGACTGCGCTCGAGGCCTCGTTGCCCAGAGCAGTAAGATTCAGTGCCAAGTGCCCTGACGGGAGCACTCTCGTGGGTATCTCACGCTTGAACCGATGGGAGTACACGGTGTTGTGGAAGTAATCGATCACGAGCCCGTGCTTCTTCAGCATGTCGATTCCCAGTAGCACGGGAGACTGACGGTCCAGCACGTAGATGCTCACCGCCTCGTCGTTCAGGACCTTCACATTGAAGGTCGCCCGTGAGGGCGCGTCGGCCCGGTCGCCTCCAGCAAACGAAAATCCCAGACTCTTGTCCGGGCTGACCTCCATGGGCTCGCTCAGTCGCTCGTTCACGTACTCTAGCTGCTCCACGCCTCCAACGGACCTGGACGCTCCACCGTCCAGGAGCGCGTAGCCCTTGCAGTCGTCCATGCTGAAGGCCACGAACTCGTCCAGCCCTTCCTCGTCGCCGTCCTTGGCCTCGCCCTCGTCATTGACCGTGCCGATGAACACGTCCTGGACGTCCTCGAACTCGACCTTCTTGCTGTAGCCGTCGGCCGCGCCAACGAAGCTGTTGAAAGCCCGGCGCCTCTCCCCTTGGGCGCCGCCGTTGCCCCGATTGGGGCAGTCCCTTGCCTTGTGGCCCGGCTCGCCGCAGAGCAGGCAAGCCCCCTTGAACTTGTCATTGGTCCCCGAGTTCGAGTCCTTCGGAAGCGCTGCTGGACGCTTCTGACCTTGACCGCGACCCTTGCCGCGGCCTGCCACGCCGCCTCGATCCTTGCCCTTGCCCTTGCGAGGTGGCCCGCCCCGGCTCACTGCCCGTCCGCGTCCAGCTCCAGCGGCGGGTTGAGTCGGGAGCGAGTCGTAGGCACCCAGGACTACCACTGGAAAGTAGCCCCTGGCGTTCTTGACCTCGTTGATCAGCTTCCTCGCCTCCACGAACGTCCTCGAAGCCGCGAAGGCCGTCTCCGTCCACTCGTTCGTCTCGTGAGTCGAGGCGGCCGCTGCCAGCGCATCCTCTCCTTGCTCCTCGTCTCCTATGGGCTCTTCACCGAGCGCGGCAGTCATCAGGTCTTCGGCTGCCGTCATCGCTGACTCCGTGATGTCCGCTGCCTCCTCGAACCCGTCGATGTACGCCTCGTCGTAGACCTCCTCGGCGTAGGCGGCAAGCTCGTCGGCGTCATCGAAGACCGCGTGAGCGCCCTTTCTGGCCTTGTACCCCTTCTGCTTGTCCCGCGATGCCAGTTGCTCCTCTGACCACTGCTCAGCCAGTGCCTTCTTCACGTCCTGATAGAGGTACGAGTTGCCCTTGGGGCCGCTGGTCGCCAGCACCGCGGCCTGCTCCTGACGGATCTAGGCCCGTCCCGTCCAGCAGGATCAGCCCTAAGATGAATTCGTGCATAAACCCTTGGGCTGGAATCTCATCACAGACTGCGTGGAGGGCCTTCCCGATCTTGCTCAGGTGGATGTCGAAACGAGAGACCCATCGCTTCGGACCTTCACCTGGATGCCGATACACTCCACGCATAAACTCTCTCCACTTGGACACAGCCTCCTGCATCGTGACCGTACCTCGAACTCCCTTGAGTGCCTCCACAACCTTTTCAGCTCCGTCTTCCTTGACAAGGTCATCGAGCGACACCTTCTTCGCCTCGAACCACTGCTGCGAATCCTCGTCCATCGCCTGAACCAGGCGCGGGCCAAGGTAGATTCTGTCATCCTTCTTCGTGCCCAGGACCCACAGCTTTACTTTCTCCTCGAAACTCTCTAAACTGGAGGCCTCACCATTCCACACAGGAATCTTGCTGCCGGACTGCTGCTCATTCGCCATCACGATTTGGAGATCGACCTCGAAGTGGGCTGCCACTTCGTCGCGCTACCAATGTCAGTGGAGCGTGCCTTCCACGGATCTTCAGCCTTTCACCTCGAGAAATCCTCACAGCCTCTGGGAGCTGGTCCTCAGGGCTGTTCCAGTAGGCGGAGATGTCGAGCTCGAAGGGCTTGATATGCAGCAGATACGATGAGAGAAACTCGCTTTCTATCTCGAGCGGTCCCCCTGAGCTTCGGACCGATGAATCAAAATCACCAAAAAGGGCCTCTTGGCCCGGCTATAAGCCGGACGGCTACGGACAGTAAACAGAGCACGTGCGGGTGGTTGCACATGGGTTCGAGAGCTCCGTGGACCCGAACAGGACGGAAACGGGGTCAGGAGCTCTGGTCACAAAGAACCCTAGAAATCTCTCTGAGATTCACATCCCTCCCCCCTCCCTCCCCCTCCTCCCCCCTCCCTCCCTCCCACCCTCCTCCTCCTCCTCCTCCTCCCCCCTCCCTCCCCCGTTCGCTCGTGGACGGGCAACGTCCTCGCTCGCCCGAGGACCGCTCGAGCCAGCCTGACCAAAATGGCCACAGAGGCTCCATGGCGGGAAGCCGTTCGACCTCTGTCGGACGTGCCCTTGTTGCAGGAGCATCGCGCTCAATTCGTGCAATGGGCGGGGGCTGCCGAGGCAGCCGCAGCGACCGTTCAGCAGATTGCACTGGTGCCTGTCGCGTGGGCAGTCTGAAGCACACGAGCAAAGATCTCCCCACGTGGTTCCGCCGCATTGGACTCCACCCGCATTGGCTCCCCGCACATCGGACGCATCTCACATAGGGCGCTAATTGCATCACGTGTTACACACATATACATATAGATATAGAGAGAGGCCAGGGTTTGCGAGCACACGGCCACTTCGTGGTGAAGCGTACATATTACGGAGATTGAGCAAGTAGCTACTTGGTGTTGTTTGTCAGTAAAGGTTTGTATTGAATTTGTCCCAGCCCGCACATGCCATGCATAATGTCTTGCTGCCCATGCTGAGTTTTGGAATGATTTGGCGGCAGTGGCCCTCGCCGGGGTGACTGGCGTAGTTCTTAACAGCATCAGTAGCAATATGAATGACACGTGTGGCCCTGGCCCTTTTTACGTTCGTGATCCCAGGTACGGAGAATCTCTGAGCACGCTCGACGTCATCACGCGCCTCGTTCCGTGTTCCTCTTCCTGCGAGCGACGGCGGTCGGCGATCAATGCTTGCGCGCTGGAAGACACGAGAACTAATGATTCTGTCTCTGCTGGCCTGCTTTTTCTCCCTGCTGTGGACATCTTTTCATCGGTCTAGGCATGGCGATCTGGTCTTATCGTAGTCGAGCCGGGATGTGCAGGCCAACGGCTGCCTCGGGTGTCTTTTCCTGGGCTGTCCCGTCGTGTCCTCCTCCCTGCTCCGCTATGACACCCGTCGGTGGGCAGAGAAACGAACAGCGCAGTCGGAAGGGATGAATGGGAGGGGCAGGAGGTCAGATACAGTGAGTGGCTTGACTAAGGAACACATGCTTTTCAAAAGGGGCTCGGTCGTTCCTCAGGGTCGCATGCGTCATTCATCGTTCCTAATGCGCTATGTATTTGATATGGTTCCTTTTGCGTTACCCATTGGAAGAAAGGGGCTTCGTTCCTGGTTATCGTTCCTCAGGTCAGGCCAATGACTGTAGCCACCGGGTGTCCGCAGCCGGCTCCCGCGCGCTCGTGCAGGCGAGACTGGCGAGTCACACTGGCGGCCTCGTCGTCGTGGACCTCGGCTCCAAGGCCGGCACCTCTGTGCAGGACCGTTCTTTTCATGGTCGACGTTTCTCTCCTTTTCCTTCCTCCATCTCTGTTCCTCCGTCACTCTTCCTTCCTCCTCTTCCTTCCTCTTCCTTCCTCCTTCTCTGTTCCTTCTAGCTAACTCCTCCGTGTCACGCCCCCGGACGTGTCTGCAGGGCGGGCCGTGCGTTTCCTGGAAGATTCCCCCACCAGTTGTGATCTTCTGTTCTGAGATGTGCAACAGTTTCACGGATAGTGGGCGGGTCGTTTTCAATATGTGGCTTTAGCGCCGCGCATATGGATTCAGAGTTTCATTGTCTGGGCGAACGATGGGCTGGTGTGGTTCGTTGTCAAGCTCGCGTCCTCCCCCACAGCTTGTGACTTGAATGGCTGATCTGGACTTCTAACCGTTGCCTGGGGAGGGGTCTGGTCATCGGCACCAAGGTGAAATATTCGATCGCGTATGTTGGCGGAGAGTGGCTATAGCGCAAACTCGCTCGCTCGCTTCGGGGCCGTGCATACAGTGCATTAGGGGGCGTTTCTCCCTGAGGCTCATTGTGAAATTTAGCATGGGGCTGATTAGGTCACTGTTGAGGCTTTGTAAGTCAAACGGGTCCATTCCAGAGACAAGCCCTCGCGTGCCCAGCGGGCGCCCATCATAATTGAGCCAATATTTGCACCAGCGCGCGCGGCAGCATAGGTGAGGCGCGCGGGGTGTAGTGCTCTCCTTCTCTTGTCGTCCTTTTTGTTTGTCCCCTTCCCCGTCTTTCTTGTAGTCCCCCGGCGTGCTTGTGGCTATCCGCACCTTTTGTCTTCTTTCTTGAGGCGTGAATCGGCTAAGGGTGGAGCGAAGTGTTGCAGTCAGGCTTCATTCAATGTTGTTCCCTACCTAGTCTCTGCCTAGAAGGGTTCTTATTCTCTAGCTTAAAGGGGCCGGGCAGTGGAAAGCGCCCCGGGCGGTTCCCCCAGTCCCCGCCCCGCGGTCCCCCCAGTCGCGCCCCCTTAGCTTGGCTTAGCTTATCTCGTCTTAGCTTAGCTTGGCTTAGCTTAGCTTGGCTTAGCTTAGCTTAGCTTAGCTTGGCTTACCTTAGCTTAGCTTAGCTTAGCCTAGCCTAGCTTAGCTTAGCCTAATGTAGCTTAGCTTAGCGTAGCATAGCATGGCATAGCATAGCACAGCATAGCATAACATAGCACAGCATTGCATATCATAGCTTAGCATAGCTTAGCATAGCGCCCCCTTAGCTTGGCTTAGCTTATCTCGTCTTAGCTTAGCTTGGCTTAGCTTAGCTCGGCTTAGCTTAGCTTAGCTTAGCTTGGCTTACCTTAGCTTAGCTTAGCTGAGCTTAGCTTAGCCTAATGTAGCTTAGCTTTAGCGTAACATAGCATAGCATGGCATAGCATAGCACAGCATATCATAACATAACACAGTAGTGCATAGCATAGCTTAGCATAGTTTAGCATAGCATAGATTAGCATAGCGCATCATAGCATAGCAGACCATAGCATACCATAGTGCAGCATATCATATCATAGCATAGCCTGGCATAGCATAGCATAGCACAGCACGGCATAGCATAGTGTGTCCGTGCGCAGTCAACGCAACCACAAAATCCATCAACAGCAACAACAACAGCAAAGCAAACGCAACAGCAAAAACAAAAGCAAAGGCAAAGGCAAACGCAAAGGCAAGAGCAAACGCAAAGGCAATGCAAAGCAAAAGCAAAACCACTTCGAACTTGTATATGTAGATGTAGATGTAGGTGTAGGTGTAAGTGTGGATGTCGGTGTATATGTAGATGTAGATGTAGGTGTAGGTGTAGATGTAGATGTCGATGTGAGTCTCGCTGTTGATGTTGATGTAGATGTAGATGCAGATGTAGATGTAAATGTGGCTGTCGGTGTAGATGTAGATGCTGCTTTCCTAAATGCTCCAACTCCTAGGTAGGGTCGCACTGGGATATTTTTTTTCTGCCAAGGTGCCGTGCTATTGTATTTGTAGGTGATTCTCAAGCGAATCGGCTGTCGTGAGCAGGATGGTTTGGGTTTCTTCTCCGCTTTCTTGTGCACATTCTTCATTGTCTGTCTCGGGTGCGGGGCCCATGGGGGGAGCCTGGTTGTGCACTAACCCACCCGCCCGCACCCGAGCGTATTATTTCAAGCTGGCGGGCCGCGTTTCGAGGGACCTGAGGATGCAGAAGGTGTGGGCGTCATCGTTCTTTACGGTTGGTGCCGGCCTTATCGCATGCAATAGTGGTGAAGATCGCGGCAGTGTTTGTGTTCAGTCGGTTTGGTTTCAGAGCTACACATTTCGGCGCACAGGCTTCCTTGTCAATGTGTTCGTGCTGCCATGGTGCTGCATCGCTGGAGGTATGGGTGTCGTCGTGTCTGTATTCCGCGTGTCGAGAGACCTGAGGGTGCAAGGGTTGTGCCAATCATCTTTGTAGTGTGGCGCTGTCCTTGAGCATTCAATTATGGTGAAGTGCGTGGTTTATTCTTTCGGCATCATACACTCAAGTCGGCGTGCTGTCTCCTTCGTCAGTGTAATTAGAGTGCGCGCACGCGGGTACGATCTTTTGTATTGCTATTGTGGGGCTGTCTGTGGAGGAGGCGATCCCCTTTGGGGGTTGCCCGATGACCAGTGGTGCGTTACACATCATTGATGAATGGGCCACATCGAGCCGATTTTTCACCTCAGCTGAATTTGTGTCAATCTCTATGGTTGTGGTCGTGCACGGCCTCCACCATTGCCTCTTCTAGGTGGAGATTGTCAGTGGGTGGTTTCATTGTGGCGACTTCGTCTTATGGTCATGCTCATGCTCATGCTCCTCCTCCTCCTCCTCCGCCTCCTCCTCCTCCTCTCTCACTCCTCCTGTTGCTGTTGTTGCTGCTGCTCCTCCTCCTTCTCCTTCTCCTCCTCCTTCTCCTCCTCCTCCTCCTCCTCCTCCTCCTCCCCCTCTTCCTCCACCTTCGCCTCCACCGCCTCTTCCTCCTCCTCGTCCTCCTCCTGCCCCTCGCCCCCCCCCTGCCCCCTCCCCCCACCCGTCCGTTGCCCACCCCCCCTCCTGACCCTCCCACCCGTCCACATCCCGCCGCTGCCTGCCAGGACCGCCGGCTGCCGCACTCGTGGCTGATGGAGCCCGTGGGCAACGGCCAGCTTCCGGAGTAGGAGGAGGAGGAGGACGACGACGACGACGACGAGGACGAGGAGGAGCACCAGCAGCAGGAGTCGGGGGGCAGGGGAGAGGACGATGAGGAGGAGGAGGAGGAGGAGGAAGCAGGAGGAAACAAGAGGATGAGGAGGAGGAGGAGGAGGAAGATGAGAAGGAGGAGGAGGAGGCGGAGAAGGAGGAGGAGGAGGAGAAGGAGGAGAGAAGGAGGAGGAGGAGGAGGAGGAGGAGGAGGAGGAGGAGGTGGATGATGATGAAGAGGAGGAGGTGGGAGAGGGAGAGGTGGAGGAAACCAGGGAAGGGGGGAGAACGCCCCTCAGCTATACGCCAAGAAGGGGCAGGTAGGAGGAGGATAAGTAAAGAACAATGAGGGAAAATGATGAAAAGAACAACAAATCCCCACTTGGGGGAATTGGGGACATCAATTTCGAATCAGAACAAGGAGCTCATGTTGTTCATCCAGGGTCCCATCAAAGAAGACGGGGGGTGGAAGAGACATGATAAGGGAGTCGATTGATTCACCCTGAGCTCCGTAAAGGAAAGATGAGGAAGCGGAAAAGGGGAACTGAGAGAGAGGGGGAGAGTGAAAGAGAGAGAGAGAGAGAAAGAGAGCGAGAGAGAGAGAGAGGGAGCGAGAG